GCGATGAGATAGGCCTGGCAGCCGTCTTCAGAGCGCCCTGCTGACGGCCAAACATCCGGCCCGCTCGACCAGAGGCGTGCCGCGGCCGGCCGGCCCCGTCAGCAGCGCCCGCTCCGACCGCGGTAACACGGGCGGCTCGTCAGCCCCTCACCCAGCACCTCTCCGAGGTCTCTCCGACAGCCCCCGGAGCTGCCGCGCCGCAAAAAGGCACTACATCAGGTCTGCCAGCCGGCTCCCAGCCCGGTCACGGACAACCTGAGAGGCGGCCCGTTACAGGCCACCCGCTCAAAACGACGCTCCATTACCCAGCTCGGACACGTGCCCGGGTCACATTGAAGGGGTTGCCCGGTTTGACTGAATGAGAAAAGTGAGACGCCGGAACACATATGTAGTTAGCTGCATTGAGATGCAAACATGAAATCGACAGCCAACACGCACCCACCATTTGAGATATTCACCGATCACACCTTTTTGAGCCTATTAATTCATATACAAGTTTACTGGCATTAACTCATCCTCCACCTCCCCACCTCTCTCTGACCGCGGGTGACGAGCCATCATCTCCTACCCCGCGGCCCAGCTACTCTACTCTCCACTGCCGGCCGGCGGCCGTGTCTCCTTCCGATCCTCCTTTCCGGGTCATCACGCGCCGGAGCGCCCTCGGGGCCCCGGTCCGGATATCGCCCGAGGCACCAGCCGCGGCCGCCGCCGGGGAGCTGCCACGATATATGAGCGCCCACTGAGGGAGCTCCACCGATCTCTGCGGCCGTCGGGGGAGCTGCACCGATAGCTGAGCGCCGCTGAGAAGCTCCACCGATCTCTGCAGCCACCGAGGCCTGAGGGAGATGCACCGATCTCTGCGGCCGTCGGGGGAACTCCACCGATCTCTGAGCGGCCGCCGATCTCTGAGCGGCGCTCCCTGTGGGGCCGGCACTCATCCCGCCGGGTCGGGCCGCGCGCCCCGGGGACGGCCGCTGTCGATACCAGCCGCCCCGTCAGCCTCTCTGGCCGGCCGGGGAGCGCCAACACCGGCGGCGCTGACACGGCGCCGACCGGCCGGAAACCCTCAGCCATAGCCGGAACAATGGGCGGCCGGCGGTCGCAGATAAAGGCGGAGCGGAGAGCACACACAGCGGCCCGGTGTCGGCCACAAGTGCCAACAGGGCACAGCTAATGACCACTCGGCGGGCCGCTCCGTGAATGGAGCCGACAAACCACAGTTCCATTCAAAGGCCGGAAACAAAATAGGAGGCACACGATCGCCCACATTTCACGGACCATAACCAAACACATTCAGCTACCAGCCACATACTGTACTAATTACACTCAACTACTTTAGAAAAGAAAAACGAGCTCTACGAAGAACATCTAAGACTGAGTAAGAGCGCCGCACCCTATGGCGATGTACTACCAGTTTCCGCGCAGCCCAAATAATACACTGCTATTGTTTTTATGAATGGGTCGCAGAGAGGCTGCGTATCTCACTCACTACAGTGGCACCGCATTTTCCGCTCCAGTGAACCAGAAGAGGATCACAGAGCCGAACGTGAATCCCCGCGGCCGAGGACGATCGAGGGGCAATGCACCGAGACGCGCAAACACTGCTCCGCGAATGGCGGCGCTGAGAGCCTGCTAATGCAAAATAGATGACGAGCCATTTTCAGAACACTGATGGATATTGCCCAAGTGGCTATGAAATAAGTGACAATCGTGTGACAGCCTTTCAAAAGCGCAAAAAATTATTTAACAATTTTTAGAATCAAAGTTCAATTCGCTTTTACTTTTAGAAAATGTGCCTAAAAAAGAATCGGGTTAACGAAAGTGACGATTTCCCATCTGAAATGAGGCACCGTGGGAACAAGTCTGCTCCCAGTTCTCACCGGACATTGGGACGGACATCAGCTGTGATTTCAAAATTGTCGCAAGTAGTGGGCTCTGGGCCAACAGTCGAGCGCCTCGGGAGCAGTCCAACTAGCCACATCCACTCCTAAACAGAGCGGGTCACTTCGAGGAATCTGCTCGGCCATCAACACATGATCTCCGGGTAAAACGGGCGAGGCTCAATGGTCGGTGCACTTACAACTTTCTTTAGTAATCACACCGATCAAAGCTAACTCGACCATCACGACCCGCGGCCGTAAGATCTTTGGGCCAATATCAAAATATTCGGCACTGCTGATTAAATGTAACTAATGTGAAGAAAGCACGATATCCCACCCAAACGCCCCACATATCCCAGGCAGACCAGAGGCTGCTGTTTTCCATCCGAGTCCGGGGCGGCCATGATCGGATCCAGCTGGCCTGGCCGGATGCGGAGCGCACATTCCGAGCGGGTCGGGCCGGATACGACCGCTGTCCGCTCGGCCAAACGGACCGTCCAGTCGACCGATGCAAACCGCTGACACCAATGTGGAGGACAGCACAGTAGAGAACACGCTCGGCCAGCGGCAGAGACAATGAAACGGTCCATAAACACACGACATGCCACGCTGTGTGACTGCGATAGGGTCAATATGAAGGACAACTAGCCTGGAAATCACGGGATACCACAACGACCATACCACAATACCATGCCACAATCACGCACGCATTTACAGTTGCGTGCGGAATGCCCGTCCCAGGGCAGTAATCAAATTCGGAGGCCGGAGCCCAATATCCAAAGCACTGCCCTGCCAAATGTCTGGTCACCCGCCACTGAGTGCTGGACAAGCTCCACAAACGGCAATAAACGACCAGTCTGCAATGCTGAGACAGCATGGACCGGAGACAGAATGCTTCCGTGCCCACTGAGAGCTGTCTCACTTTCACAACTCGGATCGTTGCATGGATACCAGATATAGTTAGCAATTGATTGCTGGTGGACCAAATCCAAATCGTCGATGCAGACTTCAGCAAACCAGCTCGATCGCGTTCAGCATATCAACACCCTCGGCCATTGCTACAGTTATGACCAAACCTCCCCCATCCTGCCAGCTCAGTCTGCTCGCAGAAGGGACAGGCGACCCTTCTGTTCCATCGCCGGAGAAAGGCGGCCGAGTCACGGCCGGACATCACGAGCCACGACCGCCGCCGGCGCGCCGGTCTCGTGTCGTGACACGGCTCGGGGCCGGGATGACACGGCGGCCGCGCCGCTCCGACACACCGGAGGAGGAGCGGACGACTAGTAACGTCACTCTGCCAGTGATGTCATCGGGTAGCTGACCCCGGCCTCGGCCCTGACCAGCCGGACGGGAGCACTGTAAGACGTAATGATGATAGGAAGGGAATGGGTTTCGCTAAATCAGAAACAAAAAACATGGGAAATAGGAAACATTGGGATCCCGACTGACAACGCCAAGCAGCGGCGCGGGCTGAGAGCTGCGGACTCACCTGCGCTAGCGCCGCCTTGGCCTGCTGCTGGTACTGGAGGACTTGCTCCCTCAATAGCTGCTGCTCATGGTGAGCAGAGAGAGGGGTGCCAGCCAGCGGCAGGAGACCCTCCGTGCCCAGCGGCTCTGCCAGAGGCGAGGCGAAGAGCTCGTCTGGCAGGAGCATGTTGCTTCCTCCCGGCGGCAGGGACAGCGGCTCCAGCTTGTTCGGCCTCTGCAGGGCGGTGTTGATGATGTCAGACGAGTCGTACGGAGGCAGGTCCATGCTGAGCGGGTCAGACGACGCGTCTGTGATCCTCCGCAGCTGGGCACTCAGATCCACACTGCCGCTGGTGCTGTGCTCTGAGTCCTCCTCTTCTCCACACTCTAGCTTATGGCACACTTCAAACGCCTGGCCCACAGTTCTCACAACCTTCATGGCCTGGCTCTTCTTGGCTGCTTTGAAAACACTACACTTGAAAACATTGGAATGAGACTCTCTGGCAATGTAACTGAAAATCTTCAGATCTTGTGAATCATGAGAAACATAAAATATCCTGTAAACTGGATGTTGCATGACTAGAAGCTTGCTCTCATCAACAAATTCATTTTTCTTCTTCCGCTTCTTCCTCAGGGACACCTTGACTCCCTCAGTGCTGACCATAATGGAGACTTTCTTCTTTTTCAATCCCTTGGCTTTGTACTCGTATCTTATTCGCCTCATCGCTGCAACAATTTCAACTCTGCTAGATGGGCGAGGGACATCAAGAGTACCAATATACTTCGCTTGGAATGTGATACCATGCTGGAAGGCCTCGTCTGTGTGAAGAGGGATGCGACAATCATACTCATCATTCTGGACCAAGTTGTATTGCTTCTTTGTCATCTTGCTGGAAATAGTCATCAACATGAGTTGATCAGAGCCTGCACAGGACCTATGACTTCAATGCTTTTAAATGCTCTTAGTGGCTCAATTCAACTTCAACTTGAATTGGATGTGACATGTAGCTGTGTAGGTTCCCAAAATATTGAACACCAGCAGCCAGCTAGCTCTTCATGGCATTAAGCATCATAGCATTAACAAACTAAAGGCTTCTCATTGTACTGTAGCACTCAGCCATCTAGTTACTATTTTAGCTTGTACAGCAGTCATTTCCAAGTACGAAGACATTTCAATTTTGTTCGGGAACCAGCTTGAACCTGAACCAACTAGTCTTCGCTTGGTGGTCGACGCCGATGTTGAGATTCGGGAAATGTCACGCCACAAATTCGAGTCATTCAGCGCTCACACATATCAGTGATCATTTTATCCCGGTGACGTTAGCGAGAGAAAAACGAATTCTTACAAGTCGCAAGCCAACTCAGACGACACACGACACACCCCCTCCACATCACAATCTCAACGCGAATGCCGGGAATCCAAACAAATGCAGCCCGAGGCTATACAAAGGATTCGTTCGTTATGTATCATTTTTAAGATTAAAGCTCCAGAAATGTGTCTATGAATTGAAATTTTACGACGTCGCATGCAAAGTTTGTAACTTCCAAAAACGTATTTTTTGTGTAAATGTACGGCAAATTCAAGGCGAAACGAAAATTGCAAAAACAAATAAAAACAAAAACAAAAGACGAACAGACCCATAAATTTGTTGTGGGCTGCCATCTAACGCTTGCTATTTTTTATTAAAAACATCTCTTGATTCGCTGTTGTAAATTGTAATTTTTTTGACCAAAAGAGAAATAAAATTATTTAAAATGATGGTATCAAGACCATAAAAGACACATACAAAAGCACATAGATCAAGATCAAGGAACTAAAGCACTTTAGTTGTTGCAATTCTGGTGGGGTAGTTTCATTTCAGACGCAATGTGTTGAACACATGGTGGGACGGGTGTGTGTGTGTGTGTGTGGGAGTGTCACTCACGTGTTGGTGTGGAGGGGTGGATCGAAGTTGAAGAAAATATTAGGTGAGAAGATTGCCCTTAGCTAATAATACAAGAAAGCGAAGACGCGGCATCTTGCGTGTTATACTCCTATATATGGCCTTGGTTATACTCCTGCAATTTGACAGTTGACGCCTGACGGGACCTCTGTCTAGTGTCGATACGATGAGTAGTGACTATGAGTAGGCACTGAGTAGCAATTGGTATGACAATGATGTCAATGTTCTGAATTTTTCCATGTTTTCAAGAACCATGCTGCCTAGGCATTTCAATTTATATTGTCTTCATTATTAGAGTAATTGCCTTTATCTGATAACATTTCAATTTTTGATCAAGAAAAGGACCACCAATGGTTCAAGATCAGTGAATTTCAAAGACAAGTCTGAAAGACCAGAGCTTGAGCTTGTGCTGTGGTATGCTTCACAAGTTATGAGTTTTTCTCTGTTTCTTGCTTTTATCATGATCATTGGCAAATCCAGCAGCAGGGTATTTGGGCAAGTGTCCCCCACATTATTTAAAGGGACCCTCCCACCTTAACATTAGATTTGAGTTGAGATAGCCAAAATGGGGTCCCTGGCTCACAATTACCGGTTTCGACACTCACAACATCGAGAAATGCCTTAAATCGGAAATATTGAATTTCAAAATTGCAGCATTTTGATTCAGAAGGGCTAATGCATAGGAATACCCCTCTGAATGTGTGACGTCAGCGCAAATATCTAACGATTTTTAAAGTGACCATCCCACCTTAACATTAGTTTTGAGTTGAGATAGCCAAATTGGTGGCCATGGCCTGAAAATACCGGTTTGGGCACTCACAACATTGAAAAATGCTTTAATTCGGAGTTATGGAATTTCAAACTTGCAGTTTTCAGATTCTAAGGGGCTAATGCATTGGTATGCCCCCTTAGAATTTGTGACGTCAGCGGAGATCTAACGATTTTTAAATCTTTTACTAAAACGTTTGGTAGCACGCGGTGGTATATGCTGCTTTGCGCGCAACAAATGCCGCACTTTCAAATAAAGTCGCTAGGAACAGCGGAGATACCAAAAAGTAAACAAAAGTAAAAGTCTAATATCTTGAAAACCGGTGAATATTTTTCGATGAAATTTGGTAGATATTCGTTTTCGCTCTTTCTGAACCGAGCGACATCACTTTCATGCCAATTCATTAACTTTTTTGAAGGTGGGAGGGTCCCTTTAAATGTTTGACTAAAACGTTTTGTAGCACGCGGTGGTACATGCTGCTTTGCGCGCAACAAGTGCCGCACTTTCAGCTGCAAAACTATTGCTTCCAAATAAAATCGCTAGGAACAGAGTAGATCCCAAAAAGTAAACAAAAGTAAAAGTCTAATATCTTGAAAACTGGTGAATATTTTTTGGTGAAATTTGGGAGATATTCGTTTTTGCTCTTTCTGAACCGAGCGACATCACTTTCATGCCAATTCATAAACTTTTTTGAAGGTGGGAGGGTCCCTTTAAACTCTGAAATCCTTTCAGTTTTGCCTTCTATAGGTCTGCTTAAAGCTGCACATTACTTTATAAGGAATCAAAATCTGATGAGTTAACTCAAGAGAATGGAGCTGAAAATATTTGACTTACTTTTTAGTGGTATGAATACCTACCCAACTTATTATATTATTTTATCACCTACATCAAGGTGGTATGCAAAAGCAAGATATGGCCAATGTTTTAACTGAATGTAATGAAAGTAATGAGTGATGATGTAAGGAAGTAAAGTAAGGAGTAATGAAATGAAATGAATTAAATGTGATTTTCAATAAATGATAGAGATTGTATATCGCAAATTATCATCTTGAAGCTTAAGTAAGCTTCAATGCATAGGCATCTACATTCTACATCTCTTTGGGACTGGTGTAAATTTTATTTTCTCAATTTAAATGCCATCTTAGAAAAATGTAGCAAACAGCTTTCCTACAACCCAGCTGTGCCCATTGGCATTCTCAACACAAATATCTACATTGATGTGCAACAATTTTAACAAGTGTATGTCATGCTGCTGTTATCTGACAGGATGAAATGACCAACTGGATAGAAATCAATTGGCATCACAAGTGGGGGGTGCAGCCTATTATCATTGCTGTCTAGAGACATCTGAAACTCCCAAGAGGTGATGTCTGCTGAGCCAGTGCTGGCCAACAGTGCAGAGGATGCACCACCAAGTGGAAAACGAAGAAAACTAGCGCAGAAGTGTGATGCAGCGCGCTCCACCCCGGCGGAGGTAAAGGACCGCGCGCGCTGTCGGCTGTTTGTCGGCTTCCCGGAGGGCCAGCTGCGGGACGTGCGTCAGGCAACCGGGCTGTTCCCGACCGCCACCTCGATCGAGCTGCCGCGCGCCGTCGAGTGTCAGTTCGAGTCGGCGGCCGAGGCGGCCGCCGTGGCGACGCGGCTGCAGGCGGAGGTGCTGGCCGGCCGGCTGGCCTCCGCCGAGGTGGTGCGTGCCGAGCGGCCCGCGCCCGGCGCCGGACCGCGTACCGTGCTGCGCGACATGACGCGTCTGCACGTGCGCGGCATCCAGCGCACGGTGACAGTGCCGGAGCTGCGCGAGCTGTTCGCCGGCTGCTCTGAAGTCACCGTGCCGGGAAACAACGCCCGCGGCAACAACGGCTACGCGTTCGTGCAGTTCCCCGACCGCGAGTCGGCGGCGGCCTTCATGGCGCAGCAGCTGAAGCTGCAGGAAAAAACCCTGACCTTGTCCTACGCCGTGGAGCGCGACATGAAGCGTGCCGGAGAGCCCAACTTCGAACTGGTGGAGGTGGACAGCGACCCTGGCGGCAAACCACCGAAACAGGACTTACCTGGGCCGCCGAACGGTGGGGCTGGGGATAAGCCTGCGGCGAAAGAGAAAAAGAAATGGAAACACGGGAAGAACACAAAGATACATAAAAATGATGTGTACAAGAATCAAAGCACAGTGATGACAACATAGTCTGGGGTCATGCGGTAGGACTTGTGTCATGCCATGCTGTCATGCCTGGAACAAGTGACGTTTTCGTTTTGCTGTCGCAAAGTACCTATTAACATCCAGAAAATCAGTTATTGTTTCATGTTGCGCTTTCTCTAGAATCTGATCGTGATACATGATAACCATGATGACTGCAAATAAATCGTTATTTGTTACGTTTGTGTCACAATAATTGCCTGATAGACAAGTTAAGCGGATGTGACGGCGGGAGCCAGACCACTTCTCGTACTAGCGAAATGATACTTTCATGTTTCTGTCACGTGGAGTTTTACCGAGTCGTGAGATGAATGAGCCAGTGGACGCCACACGATGGATTTAGAATGTTTATTTCCCGCTATAACCGAAGGTTTGTTGTCAATAGTTAAAACACTATTCTTTAGAATTGTTTTTCTGTTGAAAAACAAATCTGAGTTCCCTGACAATTTGGCAAAAGCTGCCTGAGATCAGTACAACTTGATGCTCGAGAAAACGGCTGTTCCGAAAATTCTGATTTTTTCAGGATTTCTAGTGGGTATCGATATTCCCCAGAGCGGAATAGCTAAAACACTGCAGACGCAGACACTATGTCGTTACTGATGAAAGTAAGCCTGCTGCACTCATGCGCTAAGTCTGAGAAGAGTTTTCATCGTCCCTCTTATCACGTTATCTTAACCCTCGCCGGCGCAGGCCGCAGGGTGGTGCAACCCCCCCCCCCCCCCCCCTAAGGTTTTTCGCGAATAACTCGCGTAAAAAGCGGCTGATCGCGACGAAACTTTCAGTTTCCTTGCATTGATCAATTTTACACCTACCCTGAAAATTTCATGACCCTGACCCAAATGACCTTTGACCTGTGACCTTTTTTCCGAGATCATGTTTGGCCGGAATCGCGATTCGGCGTATGTCGGCTCGCATTAGCCGCGCGTTTGCAAGCTTTTCGTGGTTTCAAACGTTCAGACATGTGATTTGATGTTGCTCCCATGCATTAGGGTGGGTGTCAAGGTCACCTGAAGGTCAGGTCAGGTCATTGACCTTTGGTGACCTCGGTTCACTTTTTCGAGTTTTACATGTTTCTAGGCTAGTTTTTGGAACTGAATTCGAATTTAGCACCCATCTGAACATTTACGAAGTAGTTTTGGTGCCTTCGTAACATGCTACGAAGCTGTCAGAGGCGGATGACAGGTACGTACTACGAATACCCGTCACGACCCCTACCGGTTGACCTGACCTGACCTGACCCGACCTGGTCTAAACGCCTAACGACATCATCTGTGATCAAAACTTACACGATATTCTTGATCAGCACCCCGGAAAACCCTTTAGCAGCCACACTTTGCAACTTTCTAACAGGTCCCGATATTCCCGGTTTTTGGGTCATTGACCTGACCTGGAAGGCCAACCGATGACCTAGGACCTTAAAATCGGGTATCATTGGCTTCCTCTCGTGATGGGCAGCACGCTCGTTTTTTTTTCGCGAAGCTCTAGCTCCATCAGGGGCCAAACGCGAGGGGGCGTACCAACCCCCTTGTGCCGTCGAAGGACTCAAAATGGCCTGTGCCGGCGAGGGTTAAAGTATGGTGTCTAAAGGATGTACATTTGAACTTGCTCGATTGCGAGCCAGGCTGCCATCCGACGGCTCGTAGTTTGTAATGGATTGACATTGCTGCTGGCGTTATACTGCCCACCAACTGGCGTGCTGCCGGTGTCCCACCCGGCGCCCGCTCTCGGCCGGCCCGTCACGCGGCGTGTCCCGCTGCCCACAGGGTGACGCCATGCGTAACGTGGAGATCAAGGCGCGCGTGCGTGACCTGGAGCGGACGCGTCAGCTGGCGGCCCAGCTGAGCGGCTCCGACGGCCAGCAGCTGGACATGCGCGACACCTTCTTCCCGGCGGCGCACGGCCGGCTCAAACTGCGCGAGCAGACGGGCGCGCCCAACCGGCTCATATTCTATGACCGGCCCGACACGACCGGGCCGAAACTCTCCGACTACAAGCTGGCCAACCTGGGCGAGGAGGTGGGTCCGCTCAGAGAGGTGCTGGCCGCTGCGCTCGGTGTGCGCGGAGACGTCGAGAAGCGGCGCTACCTCTACCTGGTGGGCCAGACGCGCGTGCACGTGGACCGGGTCACCGGGCTGGGCGACTTTGTCGAGCTGGAGGTGTGTCTGACTGACGTGCAGACCGCCGAGGACGGCCAGGCGGTGGCTGAGCGGCTCATGGAGCAGCTGGGGGTAGCGCCCGACGACCTCATCGACTGCGCGTACATGGACATGCTGCTGAAGAAGGGGGACGGGGAGGCCAGCTCGTAGGACGAGTCTGTCACCGGCGGGACGTAGGGAATCCACCAATCAGTCCGCCGGTAGTGGTGGGATCGGAACTGCAGATACACAGTCATCCGTCGGTTCAACCGAGATAGATATGGTTCATTTAAATTCCTGTGATGCATTTTCAATTGGAATGCGACTCAGACCATTTATACTCGAATGCTGATGGTTGAAATATGACGCTCATTTGCACTTTTTAGTTACTTTTGATACAAATATACTAGCAAGTATGCCATTGTCTTTCTAATATTGAACACATCCGGCAGACTCATTGTCGAAACAAAATATACCGATGTAGTAGTATTTATGTATGAACAAATGAGCGTTTATGAAATTCAACACGTTCATTTTCACCTGCTTGTGGTAGCCCTGGTAAAAGACGGCTTCGAGACGCGGCCCCGCCTCCGCCGTCGCACAAAAATCCGTATCCGGCTGATGCGGGTGGCTCAACAGTCAACAACCCTAAGCGTTCACCAGACATCGCACGGATCAACCAACAACACACTGCAAACAGACACACTATCAAACCATATCAACCCCGTACGTTAGGCCACTTATGCTCAACGCAAGCCCATCACAGTCACAAACGTAGTAACGGGTCGCCACTACTTCTGCATAGCCAAATACATTGTCCTGGTCACGATGATGTCATACAGCCCACGGGCTTCTAGAAACATAATCCTTCAGTCGCTCCAGGTACATTCTCTTCCAGCGACGCCTGAAACCAGCAGCACGGAGCTGAACTGGCAGGATGTTGGCCATTTGCCATAGCTGGCGTGGGTCGCTGGTCCACCACCGCCCTCATCCCAGCCCCGACTCTGCTCCCTGACTCCATGACTCGACTCAGTCGGCTGTGACTACGACTCTGACTCGGCCGGCCTGTCGCACGGCGGCCACAGCTGAGTCACCTTATCGTGAAGGATCTCCGGGATCCACTCCTTATACGCCGACAGCAGGTCTGAAAACCATAACGCACCTGTCAGTGGGTTCTTTGGGGATACTTATTGGATGATAGACGAGCAATTGAGGCTCTATACACAATGTCGTACAGTCCGACAGAAATGTATGAATCGTGCCATCGTATTTCTCGAGCAAACTGTTCGCGATACTGGATAACTTTGCTAGATCGGCTAACGGTTGCTAACAAAGACGCGTGGTGCATACATTGCGATCACCATCCCTTCTAGCGATGCTTCCGCGCAAGTCGCATAGCGCCGCACCGTTTCCGAATTTCCTATCGCGCGGCACCAGGCGCATACACGGGTTGCACTCACAGGTTGGTCTCCGCTGCCACACATCCAACAAGGTGTCCCGGTTGTCGCAGTTCTCTGCCACCAGTGCCTTCAGCAGACTGTCCGTCCGCGGGTGCAGCCTGCCACAAACACATCAGAAAGTCAGTCAGCCGTGTCCTTAGACAAAGGATGACTACAAGCCGGCTGGTAGCTGGCCGGCTGGCATCGAAATAAAGGGTTGATGTTTCGAGTCGGATGGTGATAAAATATGAAATAAGACTGCAGTAGATTTATGTTAAACTACACAAGCGAGCAGCCATCGGAAGTGAGACAGTGAATCGGCGAGCCTTTCCTCCACCGCCCAGAACCATTACCGACTGCCCCCACCACTCCGTCCCGTACCTGGCCCAGCTCTTGGTCATGGTGGCCGGCGGCGCCAGCAGCACCCTGGCGAACTCGGCCAGTCGGGGGCACACGTCTCCGCGCAGCAGGTGCACCCCAAACAGCCGGTACCGGTCCAGACCGGCTGGGTAGTCGAGCTGCACCGGCGGCAGCGGCCACACCGCCCGGCCTGCCGGAACGGACGGACGCGGTCAGGCGGGTACGGCAGGGGAGGGTCACGGCAGGATAGGTGAGGCGGGGTTACATGACAAAACAGTCATGAGCAGTTCGTCACGAACCGTCCACTAGAACCATAATAAGTCAAAACAGGGGACACATACGATGCGTACTTAACTATACTATACACAGGAAGTCTGAGGTCGCCGCGACGATGTAAACTCAATTGCCCTACAATATGTATGCCGCAATTGGTCGTCACGCCACCTACCCACGTACCGAATGTGGCCGTCATGTGGCACCGTACTCGGCCCGACACGGGGTCAAACTCTGGCGGCGGCTCGTCGAGCGGTTTGCTGAAGGTGCACTGGCCAGGACAGAGCGTAGCCAGCCACTCGGGCTCCACTGCGGTCACACCTGGAACGGAGAGAGGGGGAGGGGCGGTCAAAAGAGAGGAGCAAGTCAGCGGCTGCAGAGGACCAATCACTAGTCGGTTGGCAGGAAAAGCGACGGCTAAGGCTTGACCAAAAGTCTCAACATGAGATATCAATTTTTACGATCTACATGCAGCAATTGGATCTTTGATACGAAGAGCAACGTGAATGGCTTAACCCAACGTCATGACCCTGAAATAGCGGTACCCGAGCCCACCGGCCCGCGCGGCGCCGTACCGCGCATGTAGAGTTTGTTGGTCTCGTAGATCTCCTGGTAGGCGACGTACTGGGGCGCCTCCTTCCTCAGCACGGAGCCGCGGTGCAGAAACACTGGCTCCTCGATACTGGTACACCTGGAAACGACACAACGAATCAGCCTCATGCACGTCACGCAGTGAAAGGCTCATCATAAATGACAATGCAGACGGAACAAAGGGACAGCTGCATAATCAAATTGTAACATTTATTGGTGATTGACTGTATTTATTGTAAGAGCATAGCGACCTACGGTCGGTAACCGTCACCATGTCCCCTTTTCCCAGCTATATGGGAGCTAAATTTAGAGACATGTGCATTGTGCAGTATAATTTGGGAACATCGGCCAACAGCCACCATCACAATCGGCCCTCTCCCC